TTGAGACGTTTTCACATGCATTTCTAATCTCTATATACATGACTATCACTGGTCACAGTCACCCACCTTCTGAGCTCCTCGGCATCTGAGCATGAATACAAACTCGTCAGGTAGACAGCCTTCCTATCCTTGCTTTTTGAACATTCTGTCCCTAAGTGTCAAATGTAGACAACATCTGGAAACTAGACCTATGATATGTTTATATGCTAACACTAGTTACATGACCTGAAGTTCTAACATAGGAAATAACAAGATTACCAGTTTGCTTTCATCATACAATCAATTCCAATTTTCTGAAAAAATTTGTATTAGTCCCCTCAAGATGCTATAATAGACAGCTTAAAAAGAAGAAATTCATTTCTCACATTTTGAGAGATTGGCAGTTCAATTCAAGTGCCTGCAGCATTGGTTTCCGGTGTGGCTTCCCTTCCTGGCTTACAGATGCTGCCTTCATGTCGTACCTCCCGTGGCCTTTGCTCTGTGCGCACACACTCTGAGTGTCAGTTCTTTTAAGGACACTAGTACCATTGCATCAGAACCCTGACTTGGTCCATTTGTTCTACTACAAAATACCCCAAAGCTGGTGCCTAAGAGGCAACTAAAATTTTCATCTCTTCCTTCTGGAGGCTAGAAGTCCAAGGTCACGGCCCCGTTGTCACTGTCTGATGGGAACCTGTTTGAGGTTCAGGGCAGAGCAGCATTCTGGGGTCTCTCTTGAAACAGCACTAATCCTGTTCATGAGAGTTTAGACTTGGGCCCTTCCTAAGGGCCCACCTCCTATTTACCATCACATTGGTGATTATATTTCAATACAAGAATTTGGGGGAATGCATGAGTGTTCAGACCATAGCAAGCCCTGACCTTATGACTTTATTTATCCTTAATTACCTCCTTAAAGCTCTAAATGCAATCACAGTGAGGAGTAAAGGCTTCAGCAAATAAATTTGATTCATAATAGAAGTCTGATGAAGAAGAAAGTATTTGGTGTTCAAAACCTGTTAGTACCAATAATAAACAGAAAGAAGAGTTCTGTGGGTCTGCACTGCAAATGAGGTTGTACCTTCACTAATGACCTCTCCTGTCTTCACATGGTACCAAGCCTCAGATTCTCTCCATGACCCCTTCAAATCTACAGCTTTCATGCCCAAAACCAGTACCACATGGAAACTGACATATTACGAGGTTCAGCTTTTAGTTAAGATGCTGCTGTGGCCTCCTCTGGACCACAACTTCTGCATGTAGAACTTAAAGAAACACTTCCCAGAAGACTTCACCTTCACTTAATGATGCTGGTCTCTTCGCAGCTTATTTTTCAACTCCAACTGATAAGCATCAATTCTTCCAGAAAAGTAAAGGTTTCACTTCCACAGATTTTATATTGAAAATATCATAGGAACAGACTGGACAGAGTCTTTGTGGGACTCTTCTGAAACTTCACAAGCCAGGCCTCCACTATCCACATTTCTCTTGCCATTCTTGTCTTCCAAGCTCCCACAGAATGGTTCATTAAACTCTTAAGCCTCGACAGTTTTTACAGCCTCAAGTTCCAAACACTTCCACACTCCTCCCCCAAAATAGCATGATCAGGTCTGACACAGCAATACCCTACTCCTGGTACCAGTTTCTGTATTAACTTGCTTTTCTGTTGCTATGATAAAACACTAGGACCAAACCAACTTGGGAAAGAAAGGGATTATTTGGTTTACACATCCCAGGCACAGTTCATAATTGAGGGAAGCCAGGGCAGGAACTAAAGACAAGAACCTGGAAGCAGAAGCTGAAGCAGAGATCATGGGAGAACACTGCTTACTGGCTTGCTCCCCTGGCCTGTGCTCAGCCTGCTTTCTTAACCATCTGCCCAGGGGTAGTGCCACCAACATTGGGCCAGGCCCTCCCAAATCACTCAACAATCAAGAAAATGCCTCACAGATGTGCCCTCAAGCCAGTCCATAGAGGGAATTCCTCAATTATGGTTCCCTCTTCCCAGGTGTGTCAAGTGGACAACTGAAGCTGTCCAGCACAGAGTCGAAGAAAGGAATTAGGGAACTCCACAGCATTTGGTCTCACCAACTGAAAGACAGAGTTGTCATTAATAAATGAGGTTAGAGGAAGAGCAGGTTTTCTGGGGGAGCTAATCAGGGGCCTGAATTTTGGATATACTAAAGGTGAGAGGCCTACTTTATACCAGAGTGTCTGTTGTTAAGTAGGAACTTGATTTTGAGAGTCAGTTCAGAAAAGAGAGATCTGAGCATGAGGTAAGACTTTCCAAATGCTGAACAACACTTAAGATTGGAGACATAGCTCAGTGGTAGAGGATATACTTAACATGTGTTCCATTCCAGCAGGAGAGAGAGAGAGAGAGAGAGAGAGAGAGAGAGAGAGAGAGACCCAGAATGACAAGAAACATGTAGATGATATTCAAAACCATGAGACAGAATGAGATTGCAAGGCAGTGAGTGCAGATGATGAGATCACTCTTTTTGTTTGCCATGTGATGATTCAGGCAGGGTTGCCTGGTTTTCTCCAGCCATATTCACCTGCATCAAGCTGGTAAAATCAGAAATGGATTTAATAAAGGAGTAGTTTTGTCGTGGAGGAAGTACAACAAAGTAAGAAAGCTGGGAGGCAAGGAAGGGACTTTATAACCATCCAGGACAGGGAGATGATGGGGCTCAGTGATTCCAAAAGAGTCACCCTGTCCATCCTTCTTTACAGGCACCCACTATCCTAGCCTTTGCTCTTTATGTTAACTATCATAAGGAATATTGTGCATCTGCTCAGCAGCCTTCAGGATATGGAGAAGCCTTACACAGTCTCCTTCTGTATTGTTTACCAGTGTAGCCCCAGGTGCTAGGTGTGGAGATGTGCCCACACCTAATCCCAGCACTCAAGAGGCAGAGGCAGGCACATCTCTGTGAGATGGAAGCTGGCCTCAAATGGACTACATAGGGAGTTCCAGGCCAACTAGGGCTACATAGGGTAACCCTGTTTCAAAAAAAAAAGAGAAAAAGATAGCCCTAGATGATGTCCTTACCTCACACCCCTCCTAATGGCACAAAAGAGTATTTCATTTTTAATTTCCTGTAACCCTGAAAAACAACTGATTCCCATAACTCCTAGTAAAATCTTCTTTAGATGTTTTGATAATATAATTACTTTAATATCTTCACTTATTTTGGAAAACCTAATTATATCAATTTATTCTATGTCCGTAGGACACTCCTGTAAACTTCTAAAGAAGAACATGGGAATGATTGTCATAAATGAAGGCTCTCTTGACGTGAGTAAAATGACAGAGTTAAAACCTTCTCTCTCAACTTACCTTTTGATGTTTTATATTAAAATCACTATGAAAATAATTATTGTGATGTTAAAAGACACCTTTTACACCTTACCACCATTGGTCTGCTTTACCATTTTATATAGTTTTAAACAATAATGTTAATTGATTCAGACTTTGTACATGTATTAGCTAAAAGAAATTTGCATATGATTTCCTTAATATTGTGAGACAGAAGAGCTGCTTTACAGAAGCACTTGTGTCAGGACTTGCTGATCGACTATGACTCATTCATACCTGAATATTGTATTTTGTAATTTAAGCCTTTTATATCTTCTTTAGCTTCTAATGTTAATGTATATTTCTCTGCTTTTAAAAGTTAGATTAAGCACCAGGTGTGGCACACACCTTTAATCCCAGCACTCAGGAGGCAGAGGTAGGCGGATCTCTGTGAGTTCAAGGCCAGCCTGGTCTACATAGTGAGTTCCAGGAGAGCTGGAGCTACAGGGAGATCCTGTGTCAAAAACGAAAAAAAAAGTTCTATTAAGCAACACAAAATAACCGTTCCTGGTGACAGCTTCTTGTTATTTTGGTTTAGTGTATTTATTTTATTAATGCCCTAACTTCTAGGATAAAATATTGAACAGGGCAATATGTAGGACAAATGGCCTGTAAAAACTTTAAAGTCAAAGTGACAACTTGTAATTTAAGGTGGAAGACAGAACAAGAGAGGTGATGATTATACACCTGCTTAAAATAATCTTTGTGACGCAAAGAAACAGAACAGAGAAAACCTGATAATAAAGGATTTGGGTGAGGCTAAGAGGCTAGCTTCTTATGTAGAGGGTGGCGAAGAGTAATTGAGAATATTTGGAAGTTAGCTATGAGACAAAAATTATATGTAAGAATTACTTGACTGTAGTTCTTTTTTTTTTTTTTAATTTCTTATCCTCAAAATAATCCTGGTACTTTTCCCTTTCTTGTGAAAACTCTGAGCAACCTGTAACCTAAAGAATGACATGAGATTTTGCAACACTGTCATCACAGCTCTTATGCCTTTCTGTTCTCTTTCTGCCCCACATCATATGTGTTAATTTTGACTTATGATAGCCAAGTTATTATCTTGTCAAAAGTGACTAAACTAGCCCTGGCCTCCAAAAGCTTCCAAATGATAAGTGAAGTAAACACCCACAAATAGGAACACTAAACATATGTAGGCATAGGAAGGTGTTTCTTGCGATGGTTGAAGAGGTGTTCATAAAGAAAGCGGTAGCTAGTTTGATAGAGGTGAGAAACTGAGGAGGGAGGAATATTTGAAGCAGGAAGTCCTCCAGGTAAGACCAAGATGTATCTGGGGAACGGAACAAGGAACATTGAACCTAACACAAAGTTAGAACCTGTTGTTTTCATTTGAGTAAGTATACACATGTGGTATGACTTTTCATTGACAAGGAAGAGTACTGATGGTAGAAAGTGGATCACCCGTTTGTATGTATCTAAGCTCCTGCTTTACCTCCGTGGGCTTGGCCAGTCAGTCCAGAGCCATGTGTTCATCCAAAGCTATTCTGGAATATCTGATGGATGTTGGTCTATGTATCTACCTACCCCTTAGTGTTGAAAGTAAATCATAGCACGCTGTGCACACTGCCTTATGCATAGCTTTCTGCATACATGATACACTAGTATCTTAGCCAGTGGTCTGTAAGAGAAGCTACCTCATTTTTTGTTAACCTCAGCTTTGGACTTATAAGCCATCTGTAAAGAAATGACAGAGTTAAAACTGGGAAGATCTCAGGCCACCTGTGCCTCAGCTTGGTGAGTATGAGGTGCAGTATCTCAGAGTGATTGTATGACAGCAGGTTTGGAAGGGCAGAGAGACATGGTGCTCTAATAAGGGACAGGATAATAGGAAGGGGGAAATGGGATCCCAGTGCGGAGGATGTGGTATAGTAACAACTCAGAGATTTGCCCCCTGTGCTCCTTGAAGAAGGAGCTAGGGAGAGTGGCCAGGAGCAGGGTTGTGTTTGTTCACAGCATTGTGAAGACTGCGGTGGAAATATTCCATCATCCTGCTGGTGTTTCTGCTTTGGTCAGCACTGTGGGTCACACTATGGGTGAACAGATTCTCTAACAATGGAAGGAAATCAGTACTAGGACCTGTGCGGATCCCAAGGCAGAGCAAGCCTGCTTGATTTGGTGTGGGATGCTTTTCATCTGGAGTTAGGCTTTTGCCTTATGTGCGTGTGGTAGCATGCCCGCTTTCATTTTATTCTACGCCATCATTTCCATCCAGTTCTTTAAGTGTTTTGGATATCAAGCACTGTAAATAGTAATCTGAAGGAAAAAATTAAAAAATGAAATATCAAAAATATTCAGCATTACAGTATAGTATATTGTTAAGACAGTGGAATTTATTTTCACTTTGAGGTTTCTAAGGTGGCAACTCAAATCAGGAAACAGCCCAAAGGTACTTTCACCACCTAGTTTTCCAAGAAATAACAGACAGAAGACTCCAGGAACACTCAGATTCTATGTAAGCAGGTACTGAGTCTGTTCTGGTTTATCCTCATCAGTGCCTAGCAAATTACCCAGCACATAGTAAATACAGCATAAATATTTGAGAAATGAATCACCACGTAATTTTAAATTAAGGACTTCTCTAAAAAAAATAAGTTGTGCATCAGTTTTCAATTTGACGTAATTCATCGAATCTGGTGTTTTAAAAGCAGGGAGGTTAGAAACCTCCTTATGAATTTAAGTGGTACTTAAGGGTAAGAGCCAGACACTGTGGCTCAGTGGATTAGCAGTCCTTTGCCCAGCTCCTGACTGCCAAGCTCTCTAGCACTGCAGTCTGGGAAAGGCTTTCTCCCCAAGCGCTAAGTAGCAAATTTACAAATCTGGCTGTCTGTTGAGGGTCAGACCCCCTCTGTGCACTCATTTGTCTCTCAACAGGAAAAGAAGCATTGCTTTGCACAGTGCCTTCTGATCTCGTGTCATAAAATCAGTGGTTGAGATTTCAGGCAAATGGTCATAATTGCTAGAATGCCTGTCAGTAAACTATTATTTATACTTTCCATTGCAGAGGAAAAGAAAAGCAGTCTGTCTGTGTTCAAAATGTTCTGATCGATAATCAGATATAGGATGATCATTCCATGAACACAAAGAACAATTAACACGTAATAAACTTCAGAACGTAATGTCTGAAATAAATTATGAATGCCTGATTTGTCAAGTGTATTGAAATTGTCCTCTGAAACAGTGAGCCCCTTCACCAACTGGAATTAGCTTCTCTGAGCCCTCGTCTTGCTGCCTCTAAGGACAATGATACCTTTGGTGTAGCATTGGTATACTTAGTAAAGTGCATGGCACAGGTAAAGGCATATTATAAAATCTGATAGAATACCGTTCCAATAGCTTTTGATTTGTTTTGTATAAAGAACACTTTTTATTTTAAAAAGTATATTTTTCCTTTTTTTAATATTTTTCATAAGCTATCAAGTTATAACCATAGGTTATCTTTCACATGGGTGACATATACACGGTCCAAATCCTCTACCAAAGTATTAATTCTATTGGAGTAAAAAGTAAATCTCTTATGTTGCATGCATTTTTGTAAAGAATCATATTTGAGTCTCAGAAAATATGCATAGAAAATGTTTCCTTTCTTCATTTGGCAAAGTAGTACACATCTGTAATCCCAGCAGAGGCAGAAGGATCATGAGTTTGAGGCCAGCCTGACCTGCATTGCAAGACCCTATTTAAAAAATAATAATAATAATAATAATTTCTTCTAGTCATGCTGACAGTAGAAGCCTTTGTCTCCCAGTAGATGGAGAAATAACCCACTGGGCTTCCTCATCGACTCTTTTGCACTCCATGTCATATCCTTCTTGAAAAAAACAAAACCTCCTGGACACTTTCTTAAAGCATTTTAATAAATGCATACAACCAGGTTGTAGTGAAGATGTACATAGACCAAGTAACTCACGCTGCAGACTTGAGTGGAAGTCTGAGTGTCTGCTTCTGTCTGCTCCCATCTTCCTTCACTGTGAGAGCAGACGTGCTGCTGGGGTACCACTGCAGACAGAGCGGTGTGCCTCCCCAGATCCACCAGGCTCTAAGCACTGTTGTCAGTGACAGTGCAGGTTTCTTGGGCAGAAAGCTTTATTGAATTTTTTCTTAATTTGAAATTAAGAATTTCATATTAGGGAAATGGCATAGTGGGTACTGTGCTTGCAGTACATGCATGAGGACCTGTGTTTGGATTCCCAGCATCCTCCTAAAAGCTATCACAGTGACTCACGTCTTTAATCCCAGGACTGGGGAAAAAAGACTGGCAGATTCCGGGGCTTGCTAGCCAGCAGCCTAGCTAAAATGGCAAGGCCCAGGTTCCGTGAGAGACACTGTCTCAAAAATAAGATGGAAAGCAATAGAGATGTTTAAACGTTGACCTTCCTTCACACAGACACACAGACACATGCACACACACACTCACACACACACACACAGAGACACTCACACACGCACACACACACACAGACACACACACACAGACACTCAAACAAACACACACAGACACTCACACACACACACACACACACACACATGTGCCACATTAAAAAAAAAAGAAAAGAATAAAGAATTTCATGGATAAGTATCACTAAGAAGTATCTAAAGTTGTGCAAAACCTATTAGGAAATAAATATATCATTTTGGTAATTTGTATAATTTTTTTCATATTGCTTGAACTGCTTTCTTAGGCATTCTGACTAAGTTCTTGTTATGCAACATTTCTTTAAGTGTCCACGAAGTCCAGACTTGATGGAAATACACTTTTACCCTAACTCCACAGAAGTGCCCAAGAGTCAATCCTACAAACTTCTCAAAAATTCCTTCATTTACTGACTCATATTCAGAGCATCCTTTCTGCATTTCTTTTAAATCTTTCAGTTTCTCATAAAGTAATTTATTCAAAGTCTGTCTGTTAAAGATGGAAACAT